AAAAGATCGTAGTCCCTCGATGACCCTTCGATGCTTCCTTCGGTAAACGATTTTAGTCCCTTACGATAAAATTGCTAAAACGCCCTACAACTTGCCTTTATGACTATACGATGACCCGCACTTGTCCCTCACACATCCAACGATAGGGCTTCCTACTAACTAGTGGTAAGATAACACTATCTAAAGGAGGAGGAAAATAACACGAAAGACATTTGAGTAAGGGTAGAGTTGTTAATCGCTTGCTCACACAAAAATAAAACATTTTCATAAAACATTTTTTTTCTGAAATATTTTCAAAATAAAACACTTTGTACGCATTCTCAATTGATACGAGAATCATTACAAAATTGTCGCACTTAGGCAGTTTTTCAAAACATTTTCAAATCAAACACATAAAGCATTTTCAAAAGTGAGCTAGCGGTTAAGAGCTCGTAGATAACTACAGATGAAAATGGTGCTAACACCTTCCCCTTTTTATAACCTACCCTCGAACTCAAAAACATTCTCAAAGGTCTTTCATGTTCTTTTCACCCTTTCCTTTATTGGATAAAAGAAAATCCGGTGGCGACTCTTGCTATCCGCGACATTTGTGATAAAATGCAAAACCAAGTCAGTTCTCCCACCGTATTACAGAGCGCAACCTCATCATTTATAGCATACACCCTTGATGTGATGTTCAGTCTCATTCTCATTTTCTATTGAGGTATCTCATTGTAGTCCTTCTTACAACTTCTTTTAAATTTGACCAATTAAATAACAAGGTTGTCAACCTCTCTATTAAAATGCGAGTTACCTTCCTCGTTCCTTGATCGCGTACAACTTCATTTTTCCTTTGTGACTACCTTGTATATCTTACAACTTCAAAGACCCTTATACTAGATTTTCTTTGATCATCTAGTAATTTACAAATTCTAACCAACCGCCTAAAGTTATTTCCCTAACATACCATAACCTCTATCTTGTCGATTGCAAACAACATCTTTAATTATCGTGACTATCCAAAGGTCGCGATATACTTTTATAACAAGAACTAATCTTTTATGCATAAGTTATCGCTAATCATACTGACAAGTCAATTCACTCATTGATTTCTTATTCATTTCTAACCTTTACTAAGGCACCAACCTACAAATTTCTAGCGATCTAGCGTTCTAAAGAATTATTCCTCCAAATTCCTAGTAAATCTCCAAACATTACCGTCCGTGACTTGAATAATTTAACCCTTGCCCATCTCAACTCCTATGATTACTTAAATTTACAGTGTTACTAGTACCTTTACCTCATATAAACCTTTTTACTGATTATATCTCGAACTATATATAGATAGTCACTTATCCATGTAATAATTTATCTCAAACCTTAAATCGTCATAAGATTCATTTTAATAATTTTACTTACAAATATAACATAGATTAAACCCCTAAATTTAACCCTTCAACTACCTACCAATTATATAATCATCGTCTACTAGGTTAGATCACTCTTGATGTTCAAATCCCTCTTACTTCCTAGAGAAGATGCTCCATTGATATCCAAGTATTGTAATTGTTTTCTATTGACATCCATATCTCTTCTTCAATTACAAAGCAATGACAACTTCTTAATATCCAATAAACTTCATCTCGTCTCATCTCCGAACTCACCAGAATGAACATCCCATAATTTTTCTCAAAAGGTCTTCCAAATCAGGTTCTTACTTGAAACCCTTTGTAAGCTTGACTCCACTTGTCCCTACTTAACATCTCTGAGTGTCGAGAACAAACACAACTTCTAATACATAAAGTTATTGCAAAAATACCTTGTAGTTCTTACTCTACTCAATATCGTTCCCTCTAGACCAACAAATCAAAAGAATTCAGAGACATGTCAACCAAAGTTGACTAATGCTCTAGGGTTTTAACTATATGGTACATTAACTTCAATTAAGAAATAATCGATTTCCTAAGCATATATCATGCTTGACTCAAGACACATAACACATAACACATAGGATTCCAAACATTTACTCCCACTAAACCCGACACTTGATCAACTTAGGATACCTGACTGACAACCCCTTGGCAAAATCTATCCCCGAGCTCTAATACCACAATGTAACACCCCGTTTTTAACAGCGGGAGTTCATTTTTTTGTTTTTAAACAACAATACAATATAAACCATTCACAATGGTCCCTTTTTAAAATAAAACTAAAGTAAAAGTTTTCTTGTCTAAAATCAGTATAGCCATTTTAAGAAAATTAAATATGTTATGTCAATTGATTTTAATAACTAGTTATTACATATGAACTATATGTGGTTATGAATTAGTTATGAGTACTAGCCGTCTATGAGCAATCCTTCTACCACGTTTATAAAAATGAAGGGAATCAACAAAATCTCAAGGAAAGTAAAGTTGAGGGGAGAGAATTATGTAACTTTACCTTTGGTGCTTTTAGGTAACTTTAAGCAATTTTTAGTGTTTTTTGTAAAATAAAAAATAAATAAAAAATAAAAAATAAGATGAGAGAGAGAGAGATAGTTGTTGGTGAGAAAAAAGGGGAAAGGTATTGTGTCGTTCACACGCTAAAAATAGCGAAACCTAATCCAAAGTTGAGGGACTAAAAAACATAATTTTAAAATGGGAGGACTAAAATTTATAAAAACATCTAAATAAAGAGATCAAAAGTATATTTAAGTTTTCATTTTTTATTGATTTTTTTTAAATATTAAAATTTTAAAAATCACTTAATTTTGAAGCTATTTCAAATAACTTTTCATAATTTTTTTTTTTTAAAAATACATTTTTTTAAAGTTGCGATTTTGACTAACTTTTTATCTTCAATAATATATATTTATGTTATAAGATGTCAAAATTAATCTTTTAATTTATAAAAAAATGAATTTTTTTTAAATATTTAAAAAAAAAATTTTTATAAAAATTATTTTTGAAATACAAAAAAAATCTATTTTTTAAAATTAAAATAAACATACCCAATTTTCTATCTTATTTATTCATTCATCTTTCAATTACACAAAAATCATCAATATTATCCCATACAAAAGTCATTTTTGAATTACAAATTAATAACCCTTCATTTCAATAATCATACTTTTAGTATTATGTTTGACCGAATGTTTTGTATAGTATATATCTAAGTGAATTATTTATATAATAGTAAGCAAATAGATTATTTTAATATTTTTTTAAAAATTATTTTTGAAATTCAAAAATAACTTTTTTAACAGATCTAATTTTCTCTCACTAAAATAGTTTATAATTTATACATTAAAAGGAATGCAAAAAAATCGTGTAGTGAAAGAAAAATGTTTAAATTTCTAATGTAGTATTAGGATGAGAATGAATAGCTTTTCAATGTAAATTTTACAAATAAAATTGAACGATTTATTGGTATCAGATAAAAGGAATGCATGCTTAATAATTTAGGATTCAGAATAATTAATATACTATATTTTAAAAATTGTTATAATTAGGGGTTGAGATTTTCTTGGCAATGAATGACAGTCTTCTTCTCTCTGGCATAGAAAAAGCATAGTCAAATCGGATAACCTAAAAATTTAGTGTATATAAATTGCTCATCTCTTTTAATCTTCTCCTCGAATAATCTTGTAGTAATCAAATACATCATTCTGTATAGTACAAAAACAAAAGGTCAAAATTGATTGGTTAATCAACAACACTAAGATATTCTTTTTCTAACGATCATTTTAGTGAATACAAAACATATTCTTTTTCTAACAATCATTTTAGTAAATACAAAAATTCACCGGTTCAATTTGCGAAATTGAATTCATTTTCAACCTCACATCTTCTATTGTCAATGTATGATCCAATGCCAACAAAGTAGCAGCTGCATAAAAATTTGTGATCCCATTGTTTAAGGTTGACATGAAAGTTGCTCAAAACCCCATTGTTTCCTGCACCAACCAAACGAAGAACACTCAATCTCTCTCATCTCTTTCGCTATTCCAAATTCCCTTTCAACAAACAACAACCCAATTCTTAGAACCTAATCACTACCCAAATCAAATCGTATAAACTAACAATTAAAATATAAAAACAACAACAATAATAACGAGAAAATGAATTTCTATGACATAACATCATACACATCAAACAACAATAGAAAATTGAAGCGTGAAAAAGACAAATTTACCAAACCGGACGCGACTCCGAAAATTTTAGTGGCTTTTTTCAGTGTTTAACTCGAATTCGGACATGTCAGATGCTTCGAACTACTTTTCGTCTTTCTCTGTTTCGTCGTCCTCTCTTTTTTCTTCTACTGTAAAAATTCTGAAGCCGGATTCTACAATATATAACAAAAACATCACAAAAACAACGACGTCAGATAAAATGAATAATTTGAAAACAAATAAGAACCATGGAGCCAAACTAAGTATAACAGAGAAAAAACAGAAATCATAAAATAAACAGAGCGTGTGATAGATGAAGAATGAGATGGAATAGATGAAAAATGGAAGCATAGAGGGACGATGAAGCATGCAAACACAGAGACTAGAGACTGAATGAATGATTCGAATGGAAACAAAAAATACATGTAATTTATAATGGCAATTGATATGTAATATGGAAAATTATGGGACTTTTCGTTGTCCAATATGTTGATTATTGATTTTAAAAAATATTTCCCACGTTCAACAAAAAGTTAAGGAATGAATTAATAATTAATCTTTTTTATTTTAACATAAAAAATAAATAATAAAGATTGAGAAAAATTATGAAATTGACACATCAGCTTCATTAATTACCAAATAAACCACAATTAAACAAATAAGTCAATTTTAACCTAAAATTAAAAAAAAATTAGATATTTTATCAATAGAGTATACTTGATTTTTGCGGATACTTTACTTTTTATTTTTTAAAATAGATTATTTATTACTAAGAGTAAGCAAATAGATTAATTAAATATGTTACATTATTTTGACCTCATCCCTTACTTTACTCACTTTTTTTCCCTCTGTCTATTCTGCTTTTGCAATGAATGCACCACTACCACCCTCCACACCACCTTTCCTTATTAATACTCAAACCCTTTTCTCCCTCTCATTCTCCACTTCCCTAATTCCTAACCTTAATTTCCTCCATTCTAACAAAAAAGGTAATCAATCTCTTCCTTTTAAATTTTTATTACTTCCCATGCTTTCTTCAACTACCTTCTGATTTTAGGTTTTGTTTTGTGAATTTTTTCACTTTCTTGTTTGTTTTGGCTCTCATTTTCACTGCTATAACTTACTTGGTTAATTGTTAGTAATTAGTTAATTAATTGTTGCTTTATTTTTTTATAAATATTATTAGGTTATGATAATTACGTGACATTTTATTTACTTGATCTCGTAGTAGGTACTCTTTCATGGTCTATCTTTGATTCTTTGTTGACGAGATCACGGTTTTTTTCCCGTCTTTTTCTGCTTTTTGTGGGTTTTTCACTTTATCTCTTCTCGTATTTCTCTCTAGTGGGAAACCATACTTTTTATTTATTTTTGTAGTTTTCTACTTATTTTCTTGCTTTACTTTTCTCTCAACCGTGCATTACTTCATTTGCCAAATTATTGCTCTACATGGTTGTGTAGAGGTACAAAGAAAATTGCTATGGACAATCATGTTCTTTTATAGCCAAAAACTTTTAATTTTTGACAAACAAATTCATGTTCTTCCTTTTGTTTTTCTTTTTGATTTTATGAGTTTGATTGTTTAGTATTGGGGTTGTTTAGAATTTGAGAGAGATAAGTTCTTCTGATGCTGCTGCTAGAAACCTTTATACAACAGTATATGATCAGTGTTATTTTGTGCTTGGTAAGTGTCTATGTTTTTTTATGTGTTAACCCTTGTTTCCCCAGGGAGTTACCCTGGTAATTCGGAGTTTGGCCAGGAGGTAAGTAAAGAATGGCCAAGAATTGTTCTACCTAGGATTCGAACTCGGTTCTCTCAAAGTTTTTGTTTTTAAGTGAAGCTCATTAACCACTTGAGCTTAATCACTTGGTTCAGTCACTTGGTTGATCCGGGTCTGTGTTTATTTTATTGAAAAAGGAACGAAATAAACTTTGGCTCTTAAAACTGTTTGAAACATGTTATAATAATAGGACATGGTTTCTAGTATTGTATTCTCATTTTCATGCCCTTGTTTTGCTTCAGTTTTTTAATGCAAACTTTCAGAAATTAAATTATTTCAGAATCTATATTCTGAATGTCAACTATCAGAGAGATTTTTGGTATATTCTATTCATTGTTCACATGTTGGGAATTATTCTATTCATATAACCTGTTTTCTTTTTATTCTGTTTCAAATGCTACAGTTTTTGAGATTATATATTAACTATTAATTCTCCTGTTTTCTTTTGTTCAGCTGGTTTCATTAACCATTCAAATACCGTCCGGCAGATTTTGAATTTGACTAGGGTTGAAAGAGTTCATATTTCTTTAGTGAGTTGTAAAGTGACTTATATTTGGACTTGTGAGAATATTTATAGTCAAGATTGTTTGCTCAGTTGACTATACTTGCAATCTTATAATTGATGCAAACGTGAGATCTATAGTGGAAAGGGAAGCATTTAAAAGTCACCACCATCTAATGTGTGCATTCTGGAACTGAAGGAAATGGGCTGTTGTGTCTCAACGAGCAGTCGAAGTACTTGTAGCAGTGGGAGCAACGGAGACATGATCACTCCATCCTGCTTAGATGTTGGATTCTGTGGACAAAAGAGAGCAAGGAGAACGTTCTCTGATCATGTTATTTCTCTACACCATTTATCATCCTTACCTAGCCGGATTTTTGCTAATGGAAAGAGTCGGGGTTCATGCATTTTTACGCAGCAGGGCCGCAAGGGAATTAATCAGGACGCCATGGTTGTGTGGGAAGTAAGTATGCTTATCATGTGATAATGCAATCCATGGCTCTTTTTAAGTGATTCGAGAGAGACTTGGTTAGTTTTTGATATTGACATCCTAATTTCAATCTGTATTTTTGTAGGATTTCATGTCCGAAGATATGATCTTTTGTGGTGTCTTTGATGGCCATGGTCCACATGGTCATCTGGTTGCACGCAAAGTGAGGGATACTTTGCCAGTAAAATTGCTTTCATTTTTGCATTCTAAAGAATCAAAGCAAAATGAATCAGGCAAAGCTTGTTTCAAACGGAACATAAAACCGGATGGTGGAGACTCTGAAAAGGACTGCTCTGCTGCTGAGGATAAACTGAACTCCACTTGGAGAGAAGCTTTCACGAAAGCATACAAGGCCATGGACAGAGAGCTCAAGTCTCATTCAAATCTAGATTGTTTCTGTAGTGGGAGCACATCTGTAACTATTGTGAAGCAGGTAGTAACTAGACAGAGAAGTAACTACAGTCATGTTTTCTATTCCCTTTACAGTTTTCTTAATTTCTTATCTACTCAGGGTTCAAATCTCTTCATGGGATATATTGGGGATTCTCGAGCAATAATGGGATCGAAAGACAACAATGACTCCATGGTGGCAGTTCAGTTGACTGTTGATTTGAAGCCTGATTTGCCAAGTATGTGTCACATGGCATTACTATTTATTCTTTGATGAGTATATGCTTTCCTCTTGATGCCCACTTTATTCGAATTTGGTTGATAATTCTCATAGGAGAAGCGGAAAGAATCAAGCAATGCAAGGGTAGGGTTTTTGCTTTGCAAGATGAGCCGGAAGTCCCAAGGGTGTGGTTGCCTTTTGATGATGCACCAGGATTAGCAATGGCTAGAGCGTTTGGAGATTTCTGTTTGAAGGAGTATGGTGTGATTTCTATACCTGAATTTTCTCACCGGCTGCTAACAGACAGAGACCAATTCATTGTTCTTGCCTCTGATGGGGTACATTTTTTTATTCTCATCTATGTCTTTAACTGTTAGTTTTTGTTATTTAGAAGTTTATTACTACTTTTCTGTGTGAATAGGAAATTTCAACAGGCAAACCATCATTTTGATCCTTGAATGTGTAAACCAATGTTACTATAGTCCTTGAGTTTATCAAAATTATCAAAACATCCATGATTGTGTCTTTCCTTAGTGTGTCTGGTCCTCAAATTTGTCTTTCCTTGATTAGTTTGGTTCTCGAATCTCTCTTCCATTAGTCAGTTTAGTCCACGAAATTACAAACAAAAAATACGTTCACGGATTTTTTTGTAATTTTGTTACATTCATGGACTATTGTGACACCGCCTCACACATTTAAGGACCATAGTATTACAATTTAATAAAATTTCAACATATATGAGCTGCAATTTTGAAGTTATTTTCTCATGGTTAGTCTGGCGTATTGCTTGTGACTGCCATGAAGAAGTTATCTTACAAGGATAAGCTGTCAAGCTGTGATATTGAAATAAGAAAACATAATCAGTGTAGGCAAGTTTTAATTAGTAATGAATTGTGGCATAACATTAACCATAAGCTGATAGGAAGGAGACTGAGAAGTGGCTTCTAGAACTGACCACTGGGTAGAATAATGTGTTTAATAACATGACAGAACTATTAACATGTCCTGTTTGTCAATTGCCAGTATGATAATTGAGAAGCTAGCTTCTTGACAGTTTGTCCTGTTGTGCTTGAATGTGTCTTTGGTTATGAACTTCACTTATAGATGACTCATGAATATCAACTTGGTTTTGGCTTCTTTTGAAACATGCCTTTGCCGGGCTTTCCTGATATTTCAAAACTGACATGCTGGTATCTGATTGTTCATGAGATGGAAATAAGCAACAAATTATAGAAGGGATGCTATTTAAATTGCTAAAAAACAGGCATCATTATTTCATTTGTTAGATAAATATGTTTTAAGCATTAACAAATAGGTAGTTGACCAACTATTTTTGTAACATTTTTCATACTGTGTAAAACTCTCAAGTTTAGGTCTGTGTGAAAAGGATCAGAGTTTTCAAGTAAATTTGGTTTAAGTTGTACAAACCACGGAAAATAATTACATATTAAGGCTTTTCGTTGTAGTATTGGGAATAATAAAGTCAAAATATATTTAGACTTGGTGGCACTTTAATATTAGCCTACAAAAATTGGACATTTTGCAATGTTATTGCAATTTTTGGCTAGAAAATTTCATTTTGCCTGCAAATGTGCACTGCTTAAGTGAAATTTGCATGGTTTTATCCTCATTGCACCAACGACAGTGTGATACTTCATTCATTGCTGGATAATATGGTATGTCTAGTTGCTTGGTCAGATTGTTGGGGCACCATATTATTGATGCCTATCATCCCCATTGTGTCATGATCTTTGATATTCCAGGGAATCACAGTCATATGTGGTCTCAATCATATGGTTGAGTATATTCTTGGAAACCATGATGCAGCTACCTAGATCACAGCTGTGGTTCTTTTTTAAAACCATGTCCATGTCTGCTGTTACTACAGAAAATAATTAACAGATTCAGGACATATACTGAATTGCAAATAACTTCTGGATGATGAACTTTGGGATTTTTTTCCTTCCAATTATGCTATACCTCTGAGCTAACCACAGTTTTTTTAGTATAATTTTAGTTCTTAAAGCTTCTATCCTTCACTGAGGGTAACTGATTCTCTTGGCATTCTGTCTAGGTTTGGGATGTTTTAAGTAATGAGGAGGTGGTTGAGATAGTATCGTCGGCACCAACACGATCATCAGCAGCAAGGATTCTGGTAAATTCAGCTGCACGAGAATGGAAACTCAAGTATCCAACTTCAAAGATGGATGACTGTGCTGTAGTGTGCGTATTTTTGGATGGTAAAATGGACTCAGAATCAGATTATGAAGAACAGGGCTTCTCTTCTGCAACCATTCAGAGCAACCATTCAGGGAATCCAATTGAATCAGATGATGGACAAAAGTCTGAGCCATCTTTGCAACGAAACTTTACTGTGAGATCATCAGAAGAAAATGAGACTTATGGAGCAGTGTCCATTGATGTTGAAGATGGAACAGCATCAGCTGATGATCAAAACTGGTTAGGTTTGGAAGGGGTCACCCGCGTAAACTCACTCGTCCAACTTCCTAGATTTTCGACCGAAAGGTCAAACTCTTGAATTTGTTGCTTCATGAGGTAATTGGTTTAGGGAGCAACCTTTCTCCTCCCCAAATTTTAAAAAACCACGTCTGTTTTCGAAAATATATTTTTGGACAATTCTGAAAGTTTTTCGAAAGACATAAAATTGATGTTTTTCATTTCTTTCTAGATGTGTGTATCTGGAGTAACATTGAGGGGTGTGGAAAGTTCCTTGGTTTTTATGGCAGAACCTTACCCAACACTGAATTCAAGAAAGAATTTTTGTGTAGAAGTGGTATTCATTTGGATGCTCATTTTGGTTGCCAAATTTACTTGTAGAAAACTAATGTTCTACAAGAGTTACCACTGTCACAACGTAATTGATTTTGGCTCAATGCAATTGTTTTTTTGTTTGTTTTGGAAATAGCTTATGTAACACGTTAATAAAATGTTTGTGTGCTTCTAGCCACTAGATTACTTGACAAAAAAAAGTGTGTATTAGGCTAGACAATGACATCTGAATCCGATTATGGGCTAATGTGACTACGCTAAGATGATTAGACAGCACAATAGCTTTCATTTCAAGACAGTTTAACAAAAGTTCACATACGGACATATCTATGAAATTTGATGTGTACAAGCTAAAGCAAATTTGTCAATCGGTTATTGAAACAACCTAGAGAGACATGATAAAAGGTTTTGTACAATCATCACGCTAGGTCAGAAATGATTAAAGTTAGAGGGACATAACATTACCTGTATGTAATCAATTTCAGTCATGATTAGCTACGTTAAAAGTCGAATAATTCTGTTTTTGAAGTAATGGCATCCAAGTTTCATTATTTTTTTATAGAATGAAATCAGGTGAAAAAACCACATATCGGGTTGCACACGAGATATCATTTTTTTTAAAGACACTTTCTTTTATGTATGTTTGGAAAGTAAATTTTTCACTTAATATGTCCCTTAAAAATCAAAACTAACTAATTTAAATCATTGGCACTATAATGAATACTCTATATAGAACTATATTTTGCACACGAGATCCACCGTAAAGAATAGTCTATATATACATAAAGAATAGTCTAGTATATGTATGTTTGAAAAGTAAAATTCACACGTGTGCACACACCGGGACTACTAAGCCTATAAGGAAGAGGTCTGATTTAACCCATTTTAAATAAAAGGAATTACTTAATACATCTTTTTAGGAATTCCTATACGTTGTTGGTAAAATTTTCATAATATCCATTTAATTCCATATTCATATTCGAACTCATCATATTTTAGTTTTTTATCGAATAGATTCGGAGATTCATATTTGAAGTTATCCAATGATAATTTTCGAGCACATATATCCGAAATAATCTTTGTTTTTTGTTTTTTAATTTATAAATGAAGATTATTTTAGATAAGCATATCCAAATTATGTAGAATCAGTAACATATTTTGTTTAGCAGAATCAGTATCATAGAAACATGGAAATAATTAAATCGAT